TAATCCTTATAGTATCCCTGTGAGGAAATCATTATCATCTCCACTTTACAGGAGGAGAAACAGGGTTCATACACTGTGAGTGGAGGACAGTGGTGACCCACTCAGCTACACCCAACTTCTATCACACCATACTTTACATACGTGAGGCCAGCCTACCAAGAGTAAGAGCTAAACTTTACTGGATCCATTGCCAAAGGACCAAAAGAAGAAGGGGTTATCCTCCAAATATGTCCTCCAAATATGATACAAAATTAAATATGCATAATTCACTGGTTAGAATGCCCCCATGAGTCATCATGTTTTAATGTTATCTCAAGATTTTTAAGGTCTGAGTATTTACTTTTAATCATAGTATCAATACAATTCATAATTTCATATTTTCCCCTCATGGTAGCTAAAAGAAATGCATGAAGGTGTGACTAGTCCACACTAAGGACTGTGACTACTGATTTATCTTCCTCAGGATACTCAAAGCATTGGGAGTGAAACAAGAAATAAATGGTGGCTTCTGGAAGGTTCAATGAAATTGTTGAATGGACTGAAACACCACAGACAACCAAGTCGCTTATTTTTCACTTCAAAATATTCAGGACAGTTATATTCTCTTTCATCTATATTGAAGAGGAACAGTGGCAAGTGTAAAGAGTGGGGAATCACTTGAATTTCAACTCTTTTCTCACGTTGTACGAGCGGCCTCTGTCTCTTATAGACAATTGGTATCCTGGAGAGTGACTTTCTGTGAATAAGTGAATACAGCATGACCACTCTTAAAGAGATTTTACATACCAAAGAGTTGCTTTTAAAATGGGAACTATAAGTTTGATCAAAAAGAAAAAGAAAAGGACCCAAATAAATAAAATAAAAAATGAAAGAGGAGAGATCACAACCAACAGAGCAGAAATAAAAATAATAATAAGAGAATATTATAAGCAATTATATGCCAATGAAATAGGCAATCTAGAAGAAATGGACAAATTCTTAGAAACATAAAAACGACCAAAACTGAAACAGGAGGAAATAGAAAAAGAACAGACCCATAACCAAAAAAAATCGAATTAGTAATCAAAAATCTCCCAAAAAACAAGAGTCCAGGGCCAGATTGCTTTCCAGGGATCCAGGTAATTTTACCACGCATTTAAGGAAGAGTTAACATCTATCCTCTTGAAACTGTTCCAAAAAATAGAAATGGTAAAGAAAAACTTTCAAACTCTTTCTATGAAGCTAGCATTACCTTGATTCCAAAACCAGACAAAGACCCCACTAAAAAAGAGAACTATAGACCAATTTCTCTGATGAACGTGGATGCAAAAATCCTCAATGAGACATTAGCCAACTGGATCCAACAATACATCTAAAAACTTGTTCACCATGACCAAGTGGGATTTGTAGCTGGGATGCAGGGCTGGTTCAATATCCACAAAACAATCAATGTGATACACGACATCAGTAAAAGATCCTCTTTTAAGAAAAGAACCATGAGATCCTCTCAACAGATGCAGAGAAAGCATTTGACAAAATACAGCATCTTTCTTGATAAAAACCCCTAAGAAAGTAGGGATAGAAGGTTCATACCTCAAGCTCATAAAAGCAATATATGAACGATCCAATGCTAATATCATCCTCAATGGGGAAGACTGAGAGGTTTCCCCCTAAGGTCAGGAACAAGACACAGATGTCTACTCTTGCCACTGTTATTCAACATAGTATTGGCAGTCTTAGTCTCAGCAGACAACACAAAGAAATAAAAGGCATCATGGGGCGCCTGGGTGGCTTAGTCGGTTAAGCGTCCGACTTTCGCTTAGGTCATGATCTCGCGGTTCGTGGGTTCGAGCCCCGCATCGGGCTCTGTGCTGACTGCCAGGTCAGGGCCTGGAGCCTATTTCAGAGTCTGTGTCTCACTCTCTCTCTGGCCCTCCCCTGCTCATGCTGTCTCTCTCTCTCTCTCTCCTAGAAATAAAAAAATATATTAAAAATAAATAAATAAATAAAAATAAACAGTTGGCGTTACATTTAATGTTCGTAGATGAATGTGACATAAACCAAAACTCAAACCTCTGGGTTTGGCCAGAAAGAAATGTTAAACAAATATAAATATATTGGGGTTATTTGTTTTAACTTTTTACTTCTTAAAAGAATATTTAAATGTTAAAATTAGTTTGGGGTGATGAAAATTTATGGTAATACAAAACAGAATTCGCTCAAGATGTCAAGTGATGCCTACTGATACGATATTTGCATAACCCACAGAAAATGTAAGCTTCCAATAGGCACAAATTTTTCATTTGAAAACAAAATGAAAAACTAAGGACATATTTGGGAGAGGGGCGCCTGGGAGGCTCAGTTGGTTAAGCGTCTGACTTTGGCTCAGGTCATGATCTCACGGTTCGTGGCTTCGATCCCCGTGTCGGGCTCTGTGCTGACAGCTAGCTCAGAGCCTGGAGCCTGCTTCAGATTCTGTGTCTCCCTCTCTCTCTTTGACCCTCCCCTGTTCACGCTGTCTCTCTCTTTCAGAGATAAATAAAACATTTTGAAAAATTTTAAAACGACATACGTGGGAGAAAATAATGCTGGAAGCTATAAAATGTTATTAAATAATTTATATCAAGGCATTCTAGGACTAATCAATCAGTTTATGGTCTTTTAAAATCACTGGAATTCAAAGCAAAAAAAAATCACCTTGTGGTGTCTAAGATATGATCTGGCAATTGGAACTGAATTCACGTTCAGGCAAAGCTTTGGTTGGCTTGAAATGTCAATCGACAGGTTATGCACCTTGCCACTGGTTTTCACAGGAGGTTAGGAAATCCTGCTGCACCAGGTACAGGTTAGTTTCATCTAATCAGATTCAATGGCCTACTTAACTGTCATCCTTTCCCTCTCTCTTTCCCCTTCCTATTATATGCCCAATGTTTAGCTTCTCTCTCAATTTAGACTTTATGCCCTTTACATATGTCATAGTTACTCTTCATAGTGAGGTCCCAACTCATTGCTTCAGATGTCTTGAAATGTATCCCTACCTGGATGTTTACAGATTCCATACACTTGTAGTACTGCCAGAAGTATTTCTAGTCTTCCTTATGTGTAAGATTTAATCATTGATATTTAGGGTGTTAAGTTCTGTTACAAAGGTAACAGTCAAATTTATTCAAGTTATTCTAAATACACGAGGACTAAGGAGAACAACTCTAATCAGAGGTCAAAGAAAACACGGTGATGCAGCAAGCAGGATGGTCTTCCCATCTATTCATTCATTAGCTTTTCTGATTGAATCTCAAACAAAAGACCCACCTTCGGAGGCAAGAAAGTAATGTGGTCTTCACTATCTTCTGTACTAACTTTTAATCTCAGACCACGTTACTCTTAACCATATTGATTAATCCCAATTGTGATGCCTGGGAGTAGACTGAAGGTGTACAGATTTGAGGAGATGCTGCCTGAGTGACAGGCAGACAGGTTAAAATCAAGGTAGTTCCCTCCCATAATGGCTGCCTCTTATCCAGAGTGAACCTGTGACGTACAAATGAATAGCACATTGCAAACATGAAAACAGGTGTGAATTTTGCACTCCCATGGCAGTTCTTATTAGTGTTATTTTAATTCACTCCTGAACTCAACCATAACTATTATATTTACTAATCCATAACTTAATTTCATATTGAAATGTTTTCTCTGGGGTACCTTGGATATTGATTTTTATTTAGGTTTAATCCTGCAAACAAATTGACCCTGGGTGAATTGAGAAAGAATATACTAAAAATTAGGGAAAGCCTGGACCCCATGTCGGGCCCCGTATTGTGAGTTCAAGCCCCTTTGACAGCTCAGAGCCTGGAGCCCACTTCGGATTCTGTGTCTCCCTCTCTCCGCCTCTCTCACAATCGCACTCTGTCTCTCTCTCTTAAAAATAAATAAACATTAAAAAATTTTTTAAAAAAGGCATTCATTCCAACACCAGAGCAGAGCCTGATGGAAAGGAAAGTTATCATTTTCTAAACAACATAGCACAAAATACAATATATTAATCAGTCTTAAAATTGATTTGATAAAATCACAATATCTTTGAGTGCAGCCTTTTTTGCAGCGCAAAAATGAACATTTCTCTAAAAGCCCTTGACACTTGGTCTTTCTGCCTCTACTTGAATATTTCAGTGACTGAGAGTTTAGAAGGGTGGTTCTTGAAGTTGGGAGTAAACCAAATGATCTGTAACCCTCCCCTGAAGGTTCTGCTTCATTAGGTCTGGGGTCTAGGAATTGTATTTAACAAGCTCTGCAGGTGATTTGACTGCATGACAAAGTTGGAAAATCTCCATTTGGTAAGTCACTCACATGCTGAACCTAGCTCTGCCTGCTTCGTGTCTATCCATAAATCTAGTTCTGCCCTCTGGGGCACTCCACTGCTGTACACAGTCATTTATTTCCTTGCATTTTTTTTTTAATTTGATAGAGAGAGAGACAGAGACAGAGACAGCGAGCACACAAGCAGGGGAGAGGAACAGAGGGAAAGAGAGAAAATCCTAAGTAGGCTCCAGGCTCATTGCCCCCTACAACCTTGGAATCATGACCTGAGCTGAAACCAAGAGTCAGATGCTCAACCAACTGAGCCACCCAGTACCCCTCCTTGCATTTTTTAAATGAAGTATTATACGCCCAGTACTTTTGTACTGGGATATATTATTGAAGGCTAATCTAGTGAAGGCTATTATAGCAAAGGCTAAAAGGCTAAGATGCTTGTCCTCATGAGGCTAACATTCTAGCAGGGATACTGAGACAGTGTCAATGAAAATAATGAATAACTATAGTATATGGTGATAAGAGCTATCAAGTAAAGAAAAGGAAAATACATAAATGTTAAAAATTTTTAAAAATATAAATTGGCATACCAAAAATTGGCTGAACTCAGGAATTTATGACTGAATCTGCAAGAGCACTCCTATTGTATAATCCTTAGTTTCAACCATTTTGCCAAACAGAAGCAATATACAAAAACTTGAGGGGACACTCACCTGCATCACAATTTTCAGTCACAGTCCCTTTATAAAGAGGGTGGCTGAAGGAAATCTTTCCATCTTCTCCTTCCATGTGAACGACTAAGAGGCCAGGGGCTGTCCTAGCTGGGACCCCTTGGTCCATAACTTTTAACTGCAGCAAGATTGGAAAATGTTCTGAAGATGGGTTGTGCCGAAGCTGAACTTCTCCTGTATACTCATCAATTGAAAACACTGACTGAGTCTCTGCGAAACCAAACATGACCGTTCCATTGGGTCCCAAGTCGGGGTCACTGGCTGTCAGAATGGCAGTTGTCTGGTTAGTAGGTGACTGGGGGGAAAGAAAAATTTCAAAGGGGTTCTGCTCCCACACTGGATTGTTGTCATTAACATCCATGACATGCACTTTAATAATGACTGTGGTGCTTCTTGAGCCCTGGACACTACAGTCTCTGGCCACAGCCCTGAACGTATGCTGAGATCTGGCTTCTCGGTCCAAGGTGTGGCAGGTTCTCAATGTCCCCACCACAGGATCAATGGTGAATGCACCAGAAGTTTCACCCGCCAGAAAATACTCAGTTTGCCCATTCAGACCTTCGTCCTTGTCCACGGCAGACAACACAAGAACCACTGTCCCCACTGCAGCATCTTCTCTCACAGAGGCCTGGTAATGCAGCGTGGGGAAGGCAGGCTCATGGTCATTGTCGTCCAAAACTCTGACGTGCAACTGCGCTAGAGAGCTCCTCGGTGGGTCCCCTAGATCGGAGCACAGGATGACTAAGGTAAAATTGCTGACTTGCTCCCGGTCCAAAGCGCGAGTGGTTGAGAGGTCTCCTGATGTTTCGTTAATAGCAAAGTATTCATCAGTATTTCCATCTGTGAAAGAATACAAATACAAATTCAAAATCGGTTTGAAGAAGTAGAAGTCTTTTACTGGTTATATATACATACATATGATTCATGTGATCATGTGATATATATATACATATATCATTTATATACATCATGAGATATATGTAGGATTCATTCATTCAACAAATATTCATTTCATAGTTATTACATCCTAGCATTTTTCTAAGTATGGAAGATACAACAGTGAACATGATAAAGTCCCAGCCCTCATCAAGCTTCTGTTATCAGGGGATAAACAAAATAACATAATTCAATGTCTATCTTAATTCAGTCAATAATTAAAGGGGGGACTTGGGTGGCTCAGTCAGTTAAGCATCCATCCGACTCTTGACTTTGGCTCAGGTCATTATCTTCCACTTTGTGGTTTCAAGTTCTATGTCAGGCTCTATATTGAGCCCACATGAGATTCTCTCTCTCTCCCAGTCTCTCTCTCTGTCCCTCCTTGCTTGCTTTCTCTCTCTCTAAACAAATAAACTTAAAAAAATAATTAGGATACTTGCTTTGACTGATTTGCAGTAGTATAAATTTTTGAGTATGCATCTACAACTTTTTATATTCATATATTTTTCCTCTTGAGATGATTAAAGTATATGTTTTATTTGAAATAAAACAACATTGGGGCATCTGGGTGGTTTAGTCGGTTAAGAGTCTGATTCTTGGTTTTTGCTCAGGTCATGATCTCACGGTTTGTGAGTTCGAGCCCCACATTGGGCTCTGCATTGATAGTGCAGAACCTGCTTGGGATTCTCTCTCTCCCCCTCTCTCTTTCTCTGTCCCTCCCTTGCTCATGCTCTGTCTCTCAAAATAAATAACTTTAGAAAAGAAATAAAACTATGTCAAGCATGGAAAAGAAACAAGACATAATATCCATTTTTTAGATCTCAATAAAAAATTAACAGATGGATAGTAACAATGTGGATGACAGTTATGCCATTGCAATGAGATTCTCTCCTATTTCTATGCACTTTGTGCCTGATTCATAACACTTTTGTAAGAGATGGGGGAACACTAGTCTATTCCTTCCCTAGTAAGAATGGATAATGTTTTATTCTTCTCCGTGTCCTCCAAAAAATATCTTCCCTTGTAGTGCCCATGGCACCACATGAAATAAAAGTTAAACCAGAACACAAGGGCAGAAAACCTTCAAAGATATTTTAAAGTCACCCCAAAATCTTAGTCAGGAAAAAATATAGTTCCATGACTTGCTCTCAATATCTTGGATGAAGGGCACATTCTTGGATGAGGCTCACTATTCTAAACAGTGTGCAAATTTCCTAGCATCTGCCCAGGGCCTATGGGAAAGAAGTAGAACAGCATTCAAAACCACAACAGCTATAGGTAGGGTGGGGGGCTGAGGAGAAGAGACTTGCATTTGCATTTTATTCTTAAAATACAATTAATTTGTAGCAACCATAGGGCCGCTCAGACAAACCTACATTTCTGTGGCATTTGTAGTTGATAAAATGATAAAATTCGTTCACTCAGCAAACATTTAAGGAGAACCTCCAACAGGCCAAGTATGTGCTGGATATTGGGGATACGAGGAGAGTAAGGCATGACCCCAGTCTCCAAGAATTACAGTACAGGAGGAATTGGGGGCAGTGGTGGGGCATCAAAGTGTGCTGTGAAAATCATATGCACAGGGCACTGAGAAGCACAGAGGAAGGGCCCGCAGTCCTGTGTTAGGAGGGCAGGCGGGAATGCTTATTAGAGAGACAGATAGCACAACCGGTCCCTAAAGAGGAAGGAGCCAGACTAAATGTTTTGGCAAGTGTGTGGTAGGCAGAGGGGAGAGCCTGAAGGAAGCATTCTATAGTAATGTGATGCTGTTGGGCGAATGACTGGGTCTTTGAGGTGAAAAAATTTGGAGACTGAAGGAAATCTTAGAACTCTTGGAATTTAACAGCCGCAAATGTTCTAGTGTAACTAGAACACAGGGTTCCCTGGGTGTTTGCAGCCAGAGGGCAGGGAGAGGGGGGCAGCTGGGAAGACATGAACTTAGGAGAGAAGCAGAGGGTTAAATCATGAAGCACCCAGTGTACACTGCCGAGGAGCCCACCTTAACATCTACAGGGAGCCCCTGAAGGGTTTTAGACCGGAAAGGATCATTCTTCACATTTCTGTTTTAGAAAGAAGCCTGGGCAGAATGTCAGAGCTTGATTAGAATACAGGAAAGGTAGAAGGCTATTACAGTAATCTGCTTGAGAAACTGGGAGGTTCTAAAAGAACAGGTGCGTAGAGGAAGTGGACACATCCCAAAGGTATAAAGGAAAAAAGTAAGGAGTAAGGGATGAAAGATTCATGATGGGGCTTAGGTGAAAGAGTGAAGGGTGTTTAGACCAGTTTTGCTTAAAATGAGGTCAGAATACACCGCTGGGGTCATATGAAGTTTTCTAAGGAGTATCTGGAAACTGGCAGTTTTAAGGGAATTCCCAGAAGCGCAGTTTACACATTCTCATTCCTAAAATGAGAATCCTGCCTGAGAAACCACCTAAAATCACATGAGTTTGTCTTTTCCACATTTCCTAATGTCACCTTCAGCATCCTCTTGTGTCTATCTCTTGAGCGTGGTGTCTTGGCAGCTGGCTTTGCAGGTCCACAGTGCTTCGAGAAAGATTTCTAAGTCTCTCAGTGTCTGAGGGCACAGGACTCCAGCTGGGGGCCTGACCCTGCAGGTGCCCTTGGCTTGGGCAGGGCCTGTGGGATTGAGGGAAAGTAAGGACCCTGGATTGGCCTGGAAAATTGTTTTGTTGTGCCTGAATCGCAAGGCCCCAAAGACCTCCAAGGAGCCGACACCGATGCAAGTACATAAGGGTCTTTATTACAAGCTCGAGCAGGGGCTCAGCCATCATCTGGCGCAGCAGCAGCAGAGTGAAGCCGCAAACAATAGCGAGCAGGGTTTTTATGGGGTAAGGGACCGGGTGTTACGGTGCACATATTGTACGTATAGCATCATCACATAAGCACCAATCACAATTGTACAGCACCCATGGTAACAGTTTTGACCATCCAGTTACTTTTGGTGGGACCCAATCATGACCTCTGAGAATCCTTTGAAAATGACCGATTATGAGGCGAGCTCAAAGGGCCTACGTGGGGTTTAGGCAAGAATCCTCAGTCCCTGACTCAAACCACAGGAATGTTACACATTTCTTTTGATTGGCTGATCCGAGGGTGGTCCGAGGGTGGCTTTAGCTGAAGCTTTTCCTGGAACTGGGGCTACGTGCAGCCCGAGGTCGCTCTTAATGGAGGGCTTAATTTCAGGCTCCTCAGTTTGTGTGTATTTTTTAAAAAGTAGGGGCACCTGGGTGGCTCAGTTGGTGAAGCATCTGACTCTTGATTTCGGTTCAGGTCACGAGGATGAGATGGAGCCCCACATCTGGGCAGGCTTTGTGCTGATAGTACGGAGCCTGCTTGGGACTGTCTCTCTCTTTCTGCCCCTCTTCTGCTTGCTTGCTCTCTCTCTCAAAATAAATAAATATTTAAAAATTAAATAGTCTTTTTATTCTATTCAATATGTTTAAAAAGTGATATAGCTGTTTATTTTAACACGTCAATATTTATGATGCTCTGAGAGACACTATTTAAACTTCTAATAAAAACTCTTAGTCGATTATTTAAATATATGTGTGTTGGGAGTCCTGGTTCGTCAGGACTCCGCTAAGGGCAAGGTGAGCAAGGTCACTTGCAAAGACTCTAGGAGAAGGTCCCCATGATGGGGGACAGCGGGGAGGAGTACAGCTGGGGACACATCGGTAATGTGATGCTGTCAGCCACAATTATCAGGTCTTTGAGGTGAAATAATTTGAAATGGGAGGGAAAGATAAGTGTGCTTGGGTGGAAAAAAAAAAGATTAGTCAGGGGCTCACGGGTGGCTCAGTCAGTTGAGCATTAGATTTCGGCTCAGGGGCTCAGGTCATGATCTCATGGTTCACGATTTCAAGCCCACATTGGGCTCTGTGCGACAGCTCAGAGCCGGGAGGCTACTTGGGGTTCTGCGTCTTCTCTCTCTGCCCCTCCCCAACTCATGTTCACTATTTCTCTCTCTCTCAAGAATAAATAAACAATAAAAAACTTAAAAAAAAAAAGATTAGTCAATGTTCCGTTTGGCTTTGCCATTTGAGTTAGCTTTTTCCTTTACTGTGTTTCATCTGTTATCACTCTGTAAATTGTTGAAAACTGATAATAATGCAAATGATTCTTGTCCACAGAAATGCAAACTAATCATGCCTAGTGGAATGTCAGTGATTATTGTCCTGCAGATAGAGCTCTTCTGCATTTCAGAATTCCTTATTTCCCCAGTGTGTGTGTGTGTGTGTGTGTGTGTGTGTGTGTGTGTGTGTGTGTATCTTAGAATTCACCTTGGACCATGGGGTGCCTGGGTGGCTTTGTTGATTTTAGCTGAGGTCATGATCTCAAGGTTCCTAAGTTTAAGTGCCCCCCCCCCCCCCCCCCCCCCCCCCCATCAAGCTTTCCACACTGACAGTGCAGAGCCTGCTTGGGATCCTCTCTCTTTGCCCCTCCTCCATTTGCTTGCTTACAGGCGCTCTCACTCTCTCACACACTCTCTCTCTTGCTCTCTCTCTCTCAAAAAGGAATAAATAAACCTAAAAAAAGAATTCTTCTTGGAACAATTTTAACAACTTTCTGTTTTGCTCATTAATCAATCACTTAAAAAATCTTTGACAGTTGTTAGTTTTATATTTGTATGAAAGTCATCACTTTACTTTAAAAAATGTTCTTTAATGGGATTAAGATGAAGAATGCAGATAAAGATAGGGAGATAAAGGGGTGCCATGGTAGGTGAAGACAGGGACTGGGTGAAATGACTCAGTGAGAGTGTGTCTATGAAAAAAGTAAAAAAATAAGCACCAAACACCATGAAATTTCAATAAGTCAAAGGACCACCCCCAGAACAAGCAGATTGGGAAGGCTTGTCTAGAAAGGCAATGAAGGATCAGGAGAAAGTGACTTTCTGAAGTCAAGGTGGGGCCAAGTGTCCAGGGTGTGGTGTGCAAAGGCACCAAGCAGGACAATAAAATCACAAAGTGAAAGGATCCACTGGATTTAGCAACAACAAGATCCCAAGTGTTCTCTGCAAGGGTAGTTATGGAACACATAGGTATCAGGCTAAGGAGTGAAAGCAGGGTAAAGGCATAGAAACCACAGAGAAGACAGTGATTTTTAAGATGCTTGACTATGAAGGAAAAGAGACAGCAAAGGGACGTATCTGAGGGAAGATTTTTTTCAAGATGAAAAGACTGGTAAATACTGATGGGGAAAACAAGTGGAAGGGGAAATTTTGACAGTAGGGGAAAAAGCAACTGAGCAAAAAAAAAAAAAAAAAAAGTGTCCCTGATGCAGTGAGAGGGGACAGGTGGCAATCAGGGAATTGTTTGTAATCAGTGCTCAACTCAACACACAGAATTCGAGAGCAAGCATTTAGAAAATCTTACAGACATTTGACAGAATAATTTTATGTCTGCATGATACCATAATAGATTTTTTAAAACTAGGGCTTGCATTTTGCCTGCCTTTTTTCTCACAGTAATTCATATTTATTGTATTTTACAAAAGTTTCAGTGCACAACAGATCGGAAATTTTAAAAAGTTCCAACTCTGGTCCTTAATCACTGATTGTTTGGGAAGTTCTAGAAATCAAGTGGTGGTTATAGAAGAACGAAAGGATCCAATGTCACAGGCAGGAAAGAAGAAAATGGGGCTCACTTATACAAGTCAGTTTGAAAGGGCATCATTCTTCTGGATGAAATATGACATTATACATAAACATTTAAAACATATATGCCCTTGAACATGATAACTCCACTTACATGTATCATAAAGATAGGTAAGTGTTGTTCAACTGTAACATTTTTATAATAAGACTGCTACTATGGTCAGTACCTCAAAGACCACATAAAAGGGGATGGATGAAATCAATGATATTATGCATATGCAATAGGAAGAGACATCATTAGAAATGCTAACATATATGTCTATTTACTCATCTGAAAGGTTCAAACCTTTCAGATATATGAAAAATGAGTTTACAAAACAAGGTAACAAAATAGCATATATAAGTTGTCCAATATATGTAAAACTGATGTTTCCATTCACCAAAGTTCATGGTAGAGCACTTTTCAAATTAGTAAAGGGCTTATCTTAGCAAGTCACAAATTTGGCTGTTACTACTTTTGTTCTTCATAAATCTGTATATATATACCCTATAACAATCATATTTCATTTTTCTAATCAGGCAAAAATGCAATAAAGCTATTCTCATTTTGGAGTAAAACGGGTGGTACACAGAAAATGCAACTGGTCACAGAATTTTTAGCACATAGAGAGTAATAGCTTTCAGCAGAAGCTAGTTCCAAAACTGTTTTTACAAGATCTGAAGATCTAAAAGCAGTTTCTTCCCATAATATACAGTCTCTGAAGCACTCCTCTCTCTCCTCAACTCATACATTCTATGTGCACTCCAACACCGGCCAAAAATCAGATTCTTCAATCACTTTTTCTTTTAAATGAGTAAGAAGATGCGGCTCTCTCCATACAAATGGTAACAATATTCTGCCAGAAGTCTTTGTGGTTCTGGTCCAAAGGGAGCAATATCACAAAATCATCTTCTGGTAGAAGTTCCTACAGATTTTGATCAAGGATGGGATATGGTGTAGATCTTAAGTGTGGCACTGACATTCAGATCTGGGAGCTCTCTGTCTGCTCTAGTCTCTGGTCCTTTCATTTAAGGACCTGACAGGGGTGCCTGGGTGGCTCAGTCCATTAACCTGCTCTTGGGTGTGATCTTTCAGTTAGTGAGTTCAAGCCCTGCATGGGGCTCTGTGCCGACACCTCAGAGACTGAAGCCTGCTTTGGATTCTTTGTCGTCCTCTCTCTGCCCTTCCTCCACTCACAGTCTATCTCTGTCTCTGTCTCTCTCAAGAACAAACATTAAAAACATTTAAAAGAAGAGTCTGACAAAAGTCTTGATAGCTCAAAATAATAAAAAATATTAGTGATCACATGAAAGAAATAAAAATAGAAAAAAGTTACATGTTCCATCTCCACACCCACTAGTGTTAGTATAGAAAAATTCACAAGAGGGGCACCTGGGTGGCTCAATCAGTTAAGCGCCCACTTTTGGCTCAGGTCATGATCTCGTGGTTCACGAGTTCGAACTCTCATCTGTGCTGACAGCTCAGAGCCTGAAGCCTGCTTCGGATTCTGTGTCTCCCTCCTCTCTGCCCCCTCCCGGCTTGCACTCTGTCTCTTTCTCTCTCTCAAAAATAAATAAACATTAGAAAAAAATTGAAACAGAAAAAAAGAAAAATTCGCAAGAGTCATGGAGGGGAGATTTGAGAATTCGGAGGCCAGTAGTTCAGAGTGTCTGTGGAAAGGACATACACAGCACCAAAGAGCTCTTATTGGGTGTGTATTCTACAGTCACTGTAATAAACACCAAAATACAGAATAATCACCAGTGTGTCAACTCAGGCAGTATCCTGGGGAGAATTTTAAAAAAAGAAAATACTTACCAATTATATGATACCTGACAGCTCCGTTATTGCCAGCATCCATATCAGAAGCCAAAACAGTGTAGGCAACCCCTGGCTCTTGGTTTTCCAGAACCTCAATGTTATGAGTGGGGACAATAATCTGTGGTGCGTGATCGTTTTCATCTTCCACAGTGCAGAGAACTGTGGTGGTGCCAGATAATGAAGGGACTCCTCCATCTCGCACAAGCACTGATGTGAAATAAAAGACAATGCAGATCGTGCCATGAATTCATTCCATACATAGACTGCCCCAACTAGACTACATCAGACCCAACTACCTGGGTAGCACTGGGTCAATAACATTTTATTTAAAGACACTCTACAGAAATGTAAAATTTCACCACTACCCTCCTGCTGCTGATTTTTGTTTATTTAGCATAGTCCAAGGATCCCTTACCTCGAAGGGTGAAAACTTCCTGAGATTCTCTGTCAAGTGTGGTGGTTGTCACTACCTCTCCAGTGTCAGGATTTATCTTGAACAACTCAGATGAAGCACCTGGCATGATTTCAAACTGAAACTTGGAATTGATTCCTTAAGAAAAACATGAAGAAAAACTTAGTAATTATCCCTCTGGAAACCATTCATCTGTTTTCTTACTCTTTTTTTCCTGTGAACATGTCAGGCCATGGATGAAAAAGGCAAGATACTTAAAACATCCTTCAAATTAAGGTAAAACATACAACACACACACACACACACACACACACACACACACACACACACACACACACACCTCTTTTGGCTGTTCTTGCTAAATAAAAGCCTCATGGACTGAAATGCTTGATTTTCAAAAGTCTTAGGAGACTTTCCCATGGTGAATGCTTAAGATTTTTTCTCTTCCATAAAAAATTTCTTATGAGTGTGCAACTCTACAATATATTCCTAATTACTCCTTCTAACACCTCTGATTGTGATTTAATGACATAATTATAAGCTTGAGAGGCAAATGACAATTTCTGTAGATCAATCCTCTATTTAAAAACTTGTGCTCAGTTATTGTATTTTGTTTATTCCCCAGCACAGGAGGAAAGCATGTAGACTTGCTTATATGCATGTTTTTGTTTGTTTTCTATTTAGCATTCAGTCTCCTATCTGGAGTGAGAATAGGAGATAAGGTGGTACCACGTTATCATGTATTTTGAAAATAATGTTTCCCAATTTTTGTGGTTTCATTTCTTCCCTAAGAAAAGTATGACATCATTTCCATCATTGATAAGATAAAGATCATTCATACCATTAACTTCATGAGCTTATCCCAGGCTATTGTAGCTTATTTGCACCTTATACAAGTTTCCTTTTAATTATTTTCCTATCTTCTTTCTTAACTGACAAGAATCTAGGAATAGACATAGTACTTAGAATGTATGATTTTATACTTCAATAAAAGATGATATGCTATTCTTTGTCCTTAACAACAACACCAAAAAAGTTAATTACAAATTTCCATCTTGTCTTAAAAAGTTTCATTCCACTAAGGTCTAGTGGCTATAATATAGGACTGAGTGCTGTAGGGAGTTTAATATAAGGCTAGTTTTATGTAGGAGTAAACGTGCATGTCTTCTTACTATGTCACTTGAAAGGAAAAGGGTATTTGACATAGTCTGCAGGCATTTTAATGACCTTAAGAGAAAAACAATGACTAATAAGATACAGTAATTTGTTTAATATGGTATGGTCAGAGGTCCCTCCCAAAATACCATTCTATCAGTAGACATTAGGTTTATTATTACACTAATGATTACTTAATAATCATGGAGATTACTTTGGAATCATAATGATCACGTAATCTCTTCTGTAGCCAAGACAAAAATTCTAAAAATTCCAGGTTAAATGTATTATTTCTATCTCTTTGTACATTATTAAAATGGAAACAGTACCATCTTACATCTACTTTTCCTTGTTCCTCAAATATTTGATGAGCAAAATTAAGTGTCACGCATAGTGTTAACAGCCTAAGAGACAATGGTGAATCAAACAGTTACGGCCTCTGCCTTCAGGGAGTTTACAAAGAAACAGCACCATTTAATTTTGGACCCTTTATTTTTTATTTTTAATAGTTTATTGTCAAGTTGATTTCCATATAACACCCAGTGCTCATCGCCACAAGTGCCCTCCTCCATGCCCATCACCCCCCTTCCCCTCCCACCCACCCCATCTGCCCTCAGTTTGTTCTCGGCATTCAAGAGCCTCTCATGGTTTGCCTCCCTCCCTCTCCCCAACTATTTTTCCCCTTCTTCTCACCCATGGTCCTCCGTTAAGTTCCTCCTAATCCTCCTATACGTGCAAACATATGATATTTGTCCTTCTCTGCCTGACTTATTTCGTTCAGCATAACACCCTCAAGGTCCATCCATGTTGCTACACATGGCCAGATTTCATT